GGTGTGTTGCACAACGTAACAGCTCAGGTGGCGTGTTGCACAGCGTAACAGCTCAGATGGTGTGTTGCACAACGTAACAGCTCAGGTGGCGTGTTGCACAGCGTAACAGCTCAGATGGTGTGTTGCACAACGTAACAGCTCAGGTGATATGTTACATAGTGTAACAGCTCAGGTGACGCTTTACACAGTGTAAAAGCTAAGGTGACGCTTAATACAGTGTGAAAGCTCAGGTGATGTGTTACATAGTGTAACAGCTCAGATGACGTGATGCACGGTGTATTAGCTCAGGTGGTGTGTTGCACAGTGTAACAGCTCAGGTTGATATATAGTGTAACGTTCAGGTGACGCTTTACACAGAGTAAAAGCTAAGGTGACTTGTTGCACAGTGTAACAGTTCGGGTGATGTGTTGCACAGAATAAAAGCTAAGGTGACACTTAATACAGTGTGAAAGCTTAGGTGATGTGTTACATAGTGTAACCGCTCAGGTGATGTGTTACATAGTGTTATAGGTCAGATGATGCATTTCTATTTAGGTCTTCTCTAACAGATATCTCCAGGGAATAAAACATTAAAGTTTCCTTTAAACCTGAATGGTTTAGGTGAGGTGATTACCTGTAAGGTGCTTGTAGATCCCATCACCTCCTTGCTACTGTCGGCTGTGTCTCTTCGCTCTGCAGGTTAAAACAACAGATCAAAAGAGATCATGAGGAAGGCGACAAACAAGGAAGACTATCATCACACAGCCAAAATGTCAGCAGCACCAGTGACTGACCTTTAACCAGCGACAGCGAAAAAGGAGCGGCGTGTCCGTCTCGTTCACGCTCCACAACATGGTCGGTGAAGGCAGCGTGGTCAGCTGCAGCCAGCGGCACCTCTCTGTCACTAAGCTCCTGCTCCAGGCTGCTGTGGAAGAGGCTGAGCAGTAGCTCATTGGGAAGGGTGGGGGGCTGTTGACCCAGATCTTCATTTTCTATATCTAAGAAAACCATTCAGAAAATAATCAAGCATTAGAGATGCTATAAAGACGCGGAAGGTTTCCAGTGCCCTCATCTTGGCTAAAGGAACAGACGCCGTACCTGCAGTGAATGTTAGGAAGAAGAGTTCAACCTGCTGGCAGTTTGGAAGAAGATGTATGAGATCAAACTGGAAGGGAACCATCTGGATGCTATCCTCCAGCGTTGAGACTTCTGCTAACAGGACGAGGACCATCAGTCAGTTCCGCGGTTCTCAAAGTGTGTGGCGCGACCCACTGGTGGGGAATTGAGACGTGAGAGGTGGGGCGCGCC